TATTACTCAAAATATTTCAAGCAAAATACTTGACATTAACAAGTAAAAATGCAAGTATTTTAGAATAGATATTGGAAGTATACAATTACAAGTTCATAACAACAACAGGTATGTACTTGAAGTAGAATTTTAAGGATGTAATTTACTTTAAATATTGACAGCTGTCAGGGGCGGACTGGCACTAGAAATCAGGCCGGGCGATGATGGGACTTGCCAGGCCGCCTTACTTTTGCTTTGCTGATATATTCATATTCCTTATAATTTTTTCTCGATTTTGTATCACTTTCCACTATTTGCTATAGGTGTAAACGAGTTTATATCCTACTGAACTATTACAACCATATAATACCTTGGATACGATAATCATAAACAGGGTCTTAACTCCCGCGCGGGAGTTAAGGATTTCATAACTCCCAAGGGAGTTAAAAATTTCCATAACTTCCGCTTTTACCTTGGATACGTAAAACTTTGACAAAAAATAGAAATTTTGGTTTTTGGTTTATTCCTTCACAAAAATGGACAAAATACAGTAAATTCAGTAGGAAATAAAATTATCTATGTACCACGGGAATTATCAGGTGTTAATACCCAAGGGCAAAGTTTGTGTACCGAGAGCCTTTGGCCCGAGGGACACCAATTGCCCGTGTATAATAATGATAAATAACTATAATAATTGAAAAATGAATTAAAGTGCTTCAAAACTTTATTGTTGCCGGTGGCCGGTTGGCACCATGACACAGCAATCAGTGTTGTTGGTTGCCAATTGCTGAACGTAAAATAATGCGCCTCCTGGGTCGTGTTTGGTTTGACGCTCGGCGGAGCGAGCAGAGCGATCAGGGAGTAACGTGACGTCACAGGGAGTACACCGTGTCAAGCCAAATAAACTCGTGCAAAAGTGCTGGGTTGAGCGATCAGCTGATTATTGTGTATATTCAGGCGGTCCCAGCGGCTTAGTTCAGCCACTCAGCAGGAACTTTATTCTCGAAACAGGAGAACAGCGTTCTCATTGGAACGAAGGTTCTGTCTTTGTCGTCCGGCATTACACTGACAATGACAGAGCAATCGTTCTTATGAGAACGCTGTTCCTTGGTTTCGAGAATAAAGTCCCTGCTGAGTGGCTGAGCTTAGCCGCTGGACCGCCTGAATGTACCCATTGTTTATTATTTTTAAAGGATATATTTTTTGGAGTCCGAGCCCACATTCCGCATTTGCACCAGAGTTTTCTCGTTCGTTTTTTATTTTAGTCGATAATTTTATAATAATAAAAGCCCTTTTTTCTTTTGTGTTCTGCTAAAAAATGTCGTGCTACATAAACAATAAAATGGACTTAAACACTCTGAGTCTGCCAAGCCAAATTCCCTTAAATAGCTAAAACTATCCAGCTAACAAATAATAATTGTTAAAATTCATTATTGTTTATTTATCTTATCATGCAATTAGGCTATCCAATCCATCTGTCAAAAAGGAAAATTCAATATGGCGTGGCGGCCAAGCAAGATGGTTTTGAATATGTTTTTTATTTGTATTTTAAATTATTTTGCTTGTAACTTTGATTTTGATTATTTGATAAAATATTTGTTGACTAGGTGCCTAAACTATTAAATCGGGCAGAAACTAGATATTTTTTTGTGTTTTTTGGCCCATATGTGGCCGCCACGCCATCTTGAGTGTCACGTGGTTTGAATTGCCTAATGTGGAAAAAAGATTAGGTTATAAAGACAGATCAAACACATCTGAGCCGTTTTCTCGTGTCCACTTTTTTGACATTGGTTCAAAACAGTTTTGAAAAAAGTGGACGCGAGAAAACGGCTCTGATCTGCGTATGCACGCTCCAGGTGCCCACTCCACAAACTCGGAGTTTACCGAGCTCGCTCGGAGCGATCAAAATATGTCAAACTAAACACAATCAAGCGTTGTCGGAGCTTCAAAAATAACGGAACAGAGACAAATGTGCTCTGAGTGTACCGAGCGTGAACCCAAACGCGCCCCTGGATGAAAATTACGCGCCTCCTGGATAAAAATTACGCGGTTTTTGTCAGAACAGTGCGACTATTATAGGATCATAGGATTACGTAAAAAACGATGTCTGCTGTTTTATTATTTGTTTTATGTGGTATTTATGATTCGATTAAGTAATAGTCGCATGACGGAGACCGCGCAGCGACCAGGCCATTTTGCTAGGCCAGTCCGCCCCTGACAGCTGTATATGTAAGTATGTAATACTTACAATAAATTTTCAAAATCAACGAAATAATTTTAAATATCGGAAAATAGGTCTCAATCGTCTCTATATTGTGACGTATAGGTAATGTTTTTGTTTGTTTATTTTTTATTTAAGTTTTCCTTTTTTATCTAAATTTAGTTCGGTTTGTAATTTATTTTTAATATTATTCATATTTTTGTTAGAGGTTTTCCTTATTCATAGTATGCATTTTTTAAATCTATCCAGCCTGGAACGCGAGGTACCCATGGAAAAGTTTTTTTAACCCTGATTCTAATTTGTTTCTACAAATTTATACATTCCTATATTGTGTACTTTTTCAATTTGTCTTGTGGAACGCAACTATATAAGTTTTTGGTTTTTGTGGAGTGGAGTTTTGCCTGTTTTTGGAACTGTATAGGTATAAGTAATACATTTGTTCCTCCTAATGTTATTTCTTATATGTTCCATTGGTTTTAAGTCTATAGACTTATTTTTATACTGTCTCAATTGCAGACATAATAGTTGTCTTACATCAAAGACTCTAGAATTCTTAATGATATCATTTTGAAACACCACTTACCACTTTTGAACTCTCTCTAAAGGCCGGTTTATTCATCTTCTGATAAACTGTTAGGTAGGTATGCAATCTGACGGATTAAAATGCAATCTGTAATCCCATTGGTTTGACAGTTATCCGCCGACAAATAGAATTTATCTGGCAGATAGTAGATTTCGGGGGAGTCGTTTCGGTTTTTCAGCCGCTCAGCACTGCTACCTTTGTAGATATTTTTATAGTAACCATAGCAAACTTTCAGTTGAGATAATTTAAAATATTTTTGTAGATTTTTCCAGTTTGTAAATCAAATGATTTGATTTTATTGGTAACGTAACTTATTGTGTAGGCGTCCCATCGTAAATGACAATTAATATGTAGGTAGTCTTAGATATTTAATTTTCAGTACATATTTTTTTAAAATTTTTATTGTGTCGCAATTACATAAGTTCTAGTTGAAAATTATGAGACATTCAAAATTTGGTAAATTCATTAGGATGAAAAAGGCATGAGATATGTTTTGCTGTAGCTATATAGGTACCTCATGTTTTGGAAAGATTGTTTTTTTTTCTAGTTTCCTTTCAGTGTTTTCAACTTTATCCGAGTCTCTTATCTCAAATCTGACAGCAGTGTCATTACAGTAGGTGGGCATGTCTGCATTATTGTTTTGTTTGAAAAGTTTTTAAAGTTATCTAATTAGGTATAATTTGATTGTATTGCTTGTGTTAGTTCTGCTTGGTATACGTTCGATCTAATGATTTAGTGGAGTCTCGGACCAAAAAAAAAACATGGATTATTTAGAGGAAGTAAAAGTCGTAACAACATAACAATACTTCTTAGAAATTTTACGAATGTGAGATGAGAATTTCAATCGTGTTTTTCTCTCTATCTTTTCGATCCAAAAATTTAAGAATTTAAACGCTGAATATTTAATGAATTATGTAGGTATCTATGGGATATCTAGTGATATAAATTTTTTGCGAATAGCTACCTGTTGCGAGTCAGCGGCCCAAATTCTTGAAAAATATCGCATACGGAATTTGATTCGAATCTGACTGACCAGCAATGTAGGTAAATTAAATTGGAAGCGTTCGAAATCATACCAAATGTCGTATGCGATATTTTCCCAGAATCGGCCCCCAGGGCTGGGATTCTGTCACGAATACAGATATTTTCGCTATCTCTATTGACATCCCCTGGCCCTCTCTATTGATTTCGAAAAGAGAAAAGAAGACAGCAAGTGCCATACGATATCGATAACGATCTCTATTCGTTACAGAATTCCGCCTCTGATGTTACAAGAGTAAAACTATCTTGCAATTAAAACAAAAAAAGTACCTATTCGGTAGGTAAACTCTGTGCGAGAATTAAGAGTGTCACTGTTATACATACCTACCTACCTAACCTATAATTGTGATTATTGCGGTAATTTGGACTGTGGAAAAGTTAACAGAGCGTTTATAGGTACACCACAAGATAACTTTGCGATTTTCCCTGAGGAGAATTTTGTCCTGCCATTATAATCAATTGGGCGTTAAGATATACCTACCTACTTTAGCTACTTTGGTCTGTTAAACCAAAACACAGTCATGAACTACAATTAATATAGCAGTAACATTTGCATAAAGCGAAATCCTATATTATGCGGCATAGACTGAATTAAGTTTTAACGAGCCTAAAAAATCATAAAAGAAACATACCGACATCAACGAAATAACACCCCATAATCCGATTATTTAACGTATTTTATATGGCGACTAAATTAATTTACGGAAGTTTGAATGCCGAATCCGGCTTTCTACGGTAAATTAATTCGGCGTTTGTATAATACCGGTCCCCCTCATAAACCACTAGAAATTTACACCCAGCAATAAAGAAGTTAAAGTGTAAAAACTCATAAAGCAAAATAATTTACATTAAACACATGCTAAATAACCTCCTAAAACAAAATCTCATTTATCTCCCCCGAAACAAATTATATAAACGGCAATGTACAAATTGGACAGATGATTGGTGGGTCGAAACAGAAAATAAAATGGGCTTAGACCACACCTCTTACCAATCACGACCGATGTCGGTATTTTTACAAAAGATCAGTAGTTTCCGGTGAAGCCGCCATTGGTGAGGGGCCTAAACAGCAGGCGGGGCTTACTAAAGAGATCCTGTCGAGCAGATTGGCACAAAGGCCTTCACTTGTTACCAGATCTGTTAAAGATACTCAGCTGCATCACGTGCGTCTTGAGAATTTTTTCAGTTTTTGACGTGAACGAACGCTAATCACTGTGACAAACCGGTTTTTGTTCTTATAGTGTTTGGTGAGACAATTAGTGTTGATGGTGCCAAAAATATGTCCACTATTGTGTGATATCTGGTCGAGTGATCCAGTTTTTTTAAGTGGAAAATGCAAGATATAGACACTGCATCGCCGAAAAGTTCAACCAACGATATGTCACCTTATTTGGGATCTAAATATCACAACCCGATTTCATCCAGATCACCAAGTCCATCTATAATGGAACAATCCATGATAGAAGGCACTAAATATGCTTCCGACGATGAAATCAGCGTCGGTTGCCCTAGTCCGGCGCCAAGCTACAAAAGATCCCGCGAGCACAGTCCAGATTATCGCCACCATCCACAAAACAACTGTAGATGTCCAGACTCTGATAGTGAGGACTATTTCGAGCCTTTGAAAAAACTCAAAATGGCCAAAACCGATAAACGCATTTCTCCAACAGTCGAAATCGAGGAAAAGCCGGACGGTCTCAAAAGCTTTTCAATTATGGACATTTTAAATCACAAACCCTCGAAGCCTCAGTGCACGCGAATAGTACGTCCATGGACAATCGATCCGGCCGAAGTTGAGGCTCACCATCAGAGAATCGAGTCTATCCACAGGCAAATTAAAATGCAACAACAATTGGCTTTGGTGGCTTTTAACGCCGCGAGTTATACGTCAGAGACTGGTAGTGACCGTTCGTCAAGTGTTGCCAGCGATTGTTGTTCACCGGACATTATTTCTTCATCGGTTCAGAGACAGAGACAGCAGCAACAACATGGAAAACAACCTGGAGGACCTGGAGCTACTCCTCTAGATGCTCTGTTCCAGATGACGTCGAAGACTTTCGACTCGTCTACGGGCGAATCTAGTGCAGGTAGGATTTCATTGATTTATTAGCTAAATGTTTATATCGTTTTAGTTAGGGTTTATTAAAAGAAATTCTGGTAATTCACCCTATTGTTTATTAATCCAAGGGTCGCACAAGAAGTGCGTGGTAATACCCAAGACTTCAATTCATTTTTGAAGATTCGTTTAGTGAAACCTCTTTGAAATTAATGGAATTACCTTCGATTATCAAATTTATTATGATATAATCTACGGCTTGCATTTTTCAATGAAATACCATGGATTTCAGAGATTGAATTCCTGAAAATTAAAGTCTCCTCAAGATGATTTCTACTTGCAAACGAATACTGAGTAACTAATTGATCTAAACAATATTTTCAACCCTGATAATGAGCATACGTATCCATTGTATTGCTTTGAGAGTAATATGTTGCTGGAAACTTATTGCAAGCCTTTCAAACGTTTGCCATTAATAATTCAGTTTCAATCCACCGAATATTTCACTTCAAATTCAATTTATTTATTTATGCCAAAATACAGTACAAACCTTAATACAAAGCAGAGTAAACATAAACATTAGAGACCTATGTTACCTACGTTCGATATTAATCGGTATACCTACCCTGTCCTGCTGAGAACACAAAAAATGTTTTGTTTGCAGGCTTGGCGCGTGAACGTGAAAATCACAATTCACCTCTACACTTAACAACAGTACCTATTTGTACTTATATTTAATTATACTTATAACAATAATTGATAAAAAAAAAACTACATATTTGAAAAGACTGTTCTACATTCCCCCTGCAATATCTATTTAACAGTAAGACGGCCAATTATTGCTAACTGCAAAGTCTAACGCATCATTCAGTCTATTGTGTTTAAATATTTTTTATATCAAAACACCATAACCTTACTGCTTTTGATGTTTTGGTAGCCTACTTACTTCACTATTTTTTTATTGAAAATAATCGCTCAATACTATAATTGATTTAAAGCTAAGTTCTCTCCCAAAGTCCTTCTTGTACTTGTCAAAATCTATGTGTGAAGAAGGTACCTACCAGTCTTGCGCCTTACTACAGACTTTGGTACTACCAATATCGTTAAGTAAAGATTACTTTGAAATTACCGTGAGGCCAGTTATTTTCTCATTATGACCATGTGAGTAGATTATGTTAGTTTTCTCGGCTAGGCCAGTTAAAATTGCAAACAATTTCAATAACAAAGCAACAACGGAAATATAATCCATCAACAAAACAAAATACCTGATGCGATTCGTTTTCAATTTCTCTTCAACATTAAAACTTTTTTTTCTTGGCGATGCATCAAAAAATAAAAATAAAACTGTGAAATCGTCCTCCATTCATTTCAGACTTCTTTCGAGGTTCTCGGTTTGATTGATGGTTCTTCAAGGTCCCAATTTTGTTAAGCATGCAATATATCCCTTGTTATACCATTTAAATGACCGTCTGGTGCTCTGCTTTGTAAATTTGTATTCTTAAATGCTTCTTTGATGTGTTAATTTTTGGGTGGACAGATGGAATATAGACCACCACAATCGACCAATTAAACTGAAAAGAATTTATAATACCTAAGTAGAAAATCGAATTTACATTTGCATAATAATTACAAAGATTTATTTCTAATATCCATATTTTATCATCAGCCCACCTTAGATGACTATAACATTAATTCCCAGCTAATTCATTTTTCATGGGACTTGGTAGGTATAGCAAAAAAAACATAAAGCCAAAGGGTCGGCTGCTGAATAAATTAATTCAGGGTGTATTGTAGGAAGGCTAATTGCGATTTTTCACGCAAGGCATAATCATAAAACATTGTTGAGCATGAAAAGTTAATTATCGCAGTGGTATTAATATTATTTGTCGTTGAACTAAGTAGATTGAAATTATTACAGTACTTGGAAAAGTTATTTTATGCGATGACTACTGTGAGGCACGTCTGACGAATTGTTATTTATTGTATAAGCATAATAATGAGGTATTTAGAGAAGCAATAACGCCTTTGAAGAAATTAGGGTGCCTTCTTGCACATCAAATATTTTGCAGTCTTCTTATAGATAGTAAATCTCTCAAAAACTTAAAATTCAAACATCTATTTAAATGGATTTTTAGTTTTTGGATATGAGATACTTTCATTTCATTATTTTCTGTAGTATTTTGTCGAAATTATCTTGAGGCCTGATTCATACTATACGTACCTGCACCGTCACATCACCGTACCGTCAACGGCTCGTCGAATATTCTTACATTGAAAGCAATGGTCGTGGTCGTATTACTCGTATTCACACTACATCCTTCACGGCACCGTCCCGCTGCTACCTGGGTCGTCAGGATTTCTCAAAGAAAATATGATTGGCACTCAATACTGCCGAAGCCTTAAAGAATAAGGTGCAATAATTCATATTATCATTGTAATCGCGATAGTTGCCATATCCACGTTGATAATTTTTGTTTTCCAGATTGTCGAATTTTTCTAGTACTTCTAACATTTTTTCTGCTGATCTAGGGAAAATACTACTCATTATTCTGGCTGTATCGATAGGAAAGTGCTCGACCAATAGCTCAATTCCTTCAACGATTGAGATTAAATCAATTTCTCTGATCTTTTTTAACATCATTAAAAAGTATGTTGACATATTAGAGTGATCTTTTTTAACGACACACCGGCACCGTTACGTTACCGTACCGTCAAAGACCCGTCAAATATTCTTCTCAAGAAATCTTGACGGCCTGGACGGTAGCGTGAAGGGTGTAGTGTAAATACGACCATTGCTTTCAATGTAAGAATATTTATTTGACGTATGTCGTTGACGGTACGGTGACGTGCCGATACATATAATATAAATCACGCCTAAGGCGAATTAGTTTTCGAATATGTCTACTATAGTAAAAATCTGAAAAGCAAAAGTATACGATGTCTTAGTTGGAGGCAGCAAGATGTTGTATTTCTCAACCCAAACTTTTCCAAATAATGCATTTTTTTTTCTTCCTGTTATGGTAACGCTTAATCTTTATCTTCAATCGATTATGTCCCTAATAAACACATGCACATAGGTAATTCACTTTATGTTTCAAGACGTTGATAATCGACAAGATGTTTATAGGCCAACCAATAGCAGATCTCAGAAAGTATGTTCTTATAATTCATGATTTAGGATAAAGACTCTATTATTCGCTGATATGGATATCACAAAAGTCTTGTTGATAAAGACCATAGAATTATAAATCCTGAAATCACAACCTATCTTGAAAGTAACGGCTTTACAGTATATTAAGAAATCACATCTCATATTAACAATATAATAGGGCCGATGTTCGAGGTCCAAATTAAAAATCAGCCGCCGTGTGGGGTCTCCGGTTCTTCTTGTTTCGGAGGTGCGGAACATGAAGGATAGTAATTTATAACGCCTCAAAGCTTTCGATGTTGTCGGCCTTTCGTAATACGCGAACCGTCCGCGATGTAGAAAAGAAACAGTTCGGAGCTTATAGTTATCATTCGAAAAGGAATTTCCATTTGCCAGAATATAGAAGCAAAACTTCAACTTATAGGCACCCTGCTTAGCGTTTCGTTAAATCAATTTTTCAAGAATGAGTTTGGATTTTGGGGTAAGCTACACGCAACTTAACACCAAAGTTCGGCAAGTTTTAATTACGTATACTTTGGCCTGCTCGTGTTTGGGGGCGATCAATAAAAGGGTTAATTGCTTTGCCCAATTTTGCGTAACTTAAAAATTACAGAAACTAAAAATGAATAAAATTTGCTTCAACTGAAGACGCATAGAAATTTTTTTTATCACACAAGCAGTTCACTTCATTTGAGAGAAGGTGTCCTAGAGTAAGGTAACGGGTCCTGAAAAAAAATTAAAGAGTGCTTTGATTACAAAAACGTACGTCGCACCGGTTACCATAAATAAATGTCAGAGTGACAAATGAAAATCCAAAAACTTCAATTTCTCGGCTCCCACAACAGATTACTGGCGAAAACCATTTCCATCACTTTCTTTTACATGTTAGTAGAAAAGGACACGAATATACTCAGTGCGCACTGAACTTAGCAATGGATTTCACTATAATTTATCTAGTGGAACTTGTCAGTTACCTACTGTCACTGTTATAATAGGTCTGTTTCTGCAGAAATCACAAACCAGTCAGAGTGAATTTCATTGGTTGAAACTAGTTTTCTGACTGTTTTTAACCAATGAAATTCGCTCTGACTGGTTTGTGATTTCTGCAGAAACAGACCTTATATAGGGTGTTCATTTGTACTGCTTTTCTTGCTTCAAGCAGATCTCAGTAGATTGGCGTTCATTTGTCCCCATTGAACTAAACAAACACTCTGGAACGGGAGCACTGCTTTATGCTACTGTGCCGAATTTTGATACTTATATGCAACCCAGCAATACAGTGGAATTGTTGTCTCGCTCGCACTCATTACGATTAACGTAAAAGAAAGAAGAGCTTCTACATCTTCTTAACCTCAATAATCTAAACACTTCAAACAGCTGTTCTCAATAGCCGCCATAGTGCAGAGAGAGATGCAAATCCCACTTGTTTGTTGTCCTTCCTGGCACAAACCCTTGCGTTAGAAACATTATGCAGCCACCGTTCCAGTGTGTTTGTTTAGTTCATTGCTTGTCCCATATATTAAAAGCTCATAAATAGCTGCTCCTAGCAGATCTTTCTAATTTTCGAGCAGGTAGAGCAAGTACAAATGAACAGCCTAATAGGCTCTTCTAAGAGCTTAATTTCTGTTTTATTTGTTTTTGTTTGTAACATCAATCAAATGCCAAATTGACGTGCCGTGAGTTCGTCTTGAAACACTGAGCGCTCGGAGCATCATCCGTCTTTTTTTCCTTTTCATGAGAAGAACAGGGATAAAAAAACCAATACAGCAGCTCCGAGCGTCTACTCGAACCTATTTACCATGAAATTCCAAATTATAGGAAAATCTGGCTAAGACATCATTCAAAAAATCATAGCCATCTTTGAAGACCCGTTACTATTTCAA